CCCCGGCTTCCGAGGGAGCGAAGACAGTGCATGCCTTAGACCGCTCGTCTACCGTGACCGGCATATATATATATATATATATATAACGCCACCGGAAACGTCCCGCACTATCTAAATATTTGTAATTTTTCGTATTATTCTTAGTGGGGTGAGACTGAGTCCACTTGGTACTGCGGCCACTACTGGCCTACTGTACCAGCCCACAATGACAGATGATGGTGATTGTGGAGCAACTGGTGGAATGATGATTCGCAAGGGAAACCAACATTTCTTTCCCCTGCCGGAAATGGAACCCCGGCCGTCCAGCCTGTAATCCATTGCCAAACTGGCTGAGCTAACCCGGCCACAAGCTTTATTTGAGATATACCTGACAGTGACGCAAGAAAACCGAATGACTTGGTATTTTTATGTGGCAATTTTAATTATTCTTCAGGGACAGCACGTGATATCAGATTCTGCTGAAACGGACGGAGCAGGACCAACCCTAGGCAGGTTGTAGGTCTCTACGCTATGCTAAATATACCCTAGTCTGATCAGCAGTTGTTGGCCTACTTTCCTATGCTGAAAAAATAAAAGGAGGCTTATGATATCCTCTTGCTGTCTGTCGGTGTATGTGTCTGTGTTTGTTCCCCTAATTATTTTTTGTTAGGAGGTGCATGAGACCATCTTGTTGTGAATCTGAGCGTTCCTCAACCCTAGTTTTTCGTTTTCTATGCGGTCCGTACTTCCCCGAACTTAATAATGAAGTAAGAAAAGATGGTCACTGCTAGGCAACGGCGAGTTGAAACACTTTTCCGCAGCAACGAATACGCTGGACTAGATCGACGAGTTACCCAGAGAGTGAAACGCGTTTTTATGGCGACGGCGAATAACAAAGGAATGAAGTGCTGTGCCTGGTGTTTTATCTCCAGTCGACATGAAGCCATCTCAGGTAGAGGTACAGAATCCAGATATATTGTTCGATAAGCAGTGAGTTGAGGACACGGAGCCGTTATGGAAAGGAGTTGTAAGGCTTGAGCTGTGAAGTGTTAACAAGCGTGTTACAGTTACAGTAATCCTCAGTGTTACAATTAATTGCAGTTACGACTTGTGAACATCAAATAAATTGATTCACCAATGCAAACCCTGTGTACAAGTCACTAATACACGTGACAATATTGGCACCCATGTCTATGATCCCCAACCCAATCATTTATCTACATTTGGAGTTAATCTTCAGGGAAGAATCTTCGATAAATTTTGTGTCAAGTTGATGACAGTGACAGAGTCCGATAATTATAACAATCAGTTTTAACATCCTTCCTATAAATAGGTATAATAATAGACTCATTCCACTGGTGAGGTAAAAGTAAAAGGCAAAGCTATCCCTGTAACAGGCCGTGAAGGCCCATAGGGTTGTGAGACGTCGAGGCTCCCACATTTTCTCTAGACAATCGGTTCACAGATGGCGGTAAGGCTGTTAGCCTTAAGCACCGGCCGCCCTTCACCCTCTACGAAGATTCCTGGTACTCTTTTCTGTTAATGGCTGAGTCGACCGCAGGGCCATAATGCGGCTGGCAGAATTCGGTAAATGAAAAAATCCATCTAATCGGGAATGGAACCAGCTACCTTCCGGCTTGTAGCATAGTGCCTCAACCAACTACGCTCCTGCGTGCACCTTTCCACTGGTGAGGAAATTCTTTCTTTTATTCCGAATATAATTAATAATTTATGGATCTCGTAATATTTCATATACTATTTGGATCAATCCTGCTGCAATTTGATCAGCTCCTGATGATTTATACCTCCTTAACTTTACAGTAGGAAACTCGAACTCAGAAGAATAGGCTAAGGTACGAAAGAGCTAAGCTGATTATCATTCTGCTTAACATCGTAATACTGGATATTGTCCAATGTGATGTTAGTGTGAAGACCAGTTCTGCAAATAACATGCGGTTTGAAGTATATGTTGTAGAAGTTAATAGTAATAAAAATCAAGAACAATAGGAACGAGGAAAAGCATTCCACCCACACTGAAGCAGTAAGACAAACCAACAGTCTTTCAGATTCAAAAATATTTAGCAGCTAGGGCAAAAGATACTGATTCTGTGACGAGAAAAGAATTGAAGTTCATGATAGCGCCTGGTTTCCTCCTGTGTGAATTCTGAATAACTTCACAAATAACAGATAACGTCATGTATACTTATCTTACATTAAGATCAGATTCTGTCATCAACTCTGACTAGAAGATTTTCGTAACGAAACTAACAGTTACTCCTTCATAACAATACAGCTCTTCTTTTGTTATTCATGTGTTTAAATATAGTTTCCATCTAGTGAGCAGCTAAGCCACAACCTCAGGCGAACTTGTATCTCGTTTGTAAAGCCATTAGAAATTATTACTGCGTAATAAAAGATTTATGTTCTTACTCACGTGTTTGAACATAGTTCTCAGCCACTGCGTTGGGCGTCTGCTGCTTCACCACGCCCGTTTTCTCTTATACAGACTGAAAGACAAGAATTACGATTATACAGCAAATGCATATACAAGACTTAACAAGACATGACTAACCAACCAACAAGGAGCCGCTAGTTGTGCTGCTACTCAAGAACTTCCAAAATTTTTATGGAACCTGAAGGTTCGTTTCTGTGTTCACACGACTCCTCCACTTGCCCCTATCCTGAGCCAAATCAATCTAGTCCACACTAACCCATCCTAGTTCTCTAAGATCCATTTTAATATTATACACCAACTTATGTCTTGGTCTTCCCAGTCGTCTCTTTCCTTCTACCTTTCCCACTAATATCCTATATGCATTTCTCTTCTCCCCATCCGTGCTACATACCCTGTCCATCTCATTTTCCTTGATTTCATCATACTTAAATACTCTTTTTCCAAATGCTTTCATTTTGATCTTTCATTTCTCATGGATATTAGTTCTCAACTATTGCAGGAGCAAATGTGCTGTAGAGAAAGCTAATAAACAGTTGGGATACTACATGCAGTGAAATAAAAATCCTTTCCTCTGTTTATAAATTGCATAACAGTGAGAAGTGAATAAACATACAATTTTGAAATTCAACCATCGTTTGATAGCGATCAGCCAGGATATTTTCCACACTTGTCTTCGTCCATCTGTCTGCAAGTAACAGCTCCTAAATTGTGTGACCGGTTTCGATCAAAATAGGCATGGCAAACCTATCAGAACTTCGGTTTGGTTCATTTTAATGGTAGCTTTACTTATGAGAATAAATGAAATTCTGTTATCTTTCGAGTCCTTTAAGCAATTTTGATGAAACTTGATACACAGTTTGCGATAGAAGTTTCCTGACGTTTCGGATGAATGTGTTTCCATCTTCAGGGTCGAAGATTAACATAGGCAAGCAGCATGCTCTCTGCATGTCTGTTTGCTTGTTCAGTGTACTTTTCAACCCCGAAAAGTTGGTAACCCTACTACAGGGCGTCAAATAAAACACTGTTTTTCAGGCATATTAATTCAAATATCAGTTTGTCATTATCAAGAATGTGCTTTAAAAAGCACTGGGGTATCTGAGACTAGTGTTTCAGTAATTCAACGTCGCGGCAGGCCTCGGTTTTAGAGGCCAACCCCCCTGACTTAGCTAACAAAATGTAAATTTTCCCTGTGTTTTATTAATTAAGCAGCACTCCATAATGTGTGGGATAATGGAACGTATAGCTTCAGTATTCTTGACCTCTGCACTAGATGGACGAGAGTCGTCAGTTTCACGCCCCGGCCATTTTACTCCTGTAGAAAAACCTCCGGTCACCATTACATAGGAGGTTGGGTGGAATCCAGTGGCGGTCTGGACACTGTGAACAAGAAAACTATCTTGTCCTAGCCGAGAATCGATTTCTGACTCTCTATCCCGTAGCTTGTCGCTGGTCAACAAGTAAATACAGATAAAGAAGAAGAGACGAACATGATTCGAAGCAAAAATCAGTAACATAAACTAACTTTGTCTATAGACTATTAGCGAATATGCCTCATTTTCGCTCGTCTTTCTTAATAAACTACACTGAAGTAATAATATTATTTGTAAGATTTGAGGCTTTCACGGCGGTGACTATGAAGAAATCAGTCTTCTGGGATTTGGCACCATATATATGTGGTGTTAACCGACGTTTCGGGGGAACGTATCACCTCCATCTTCAGGGTAGAAGAAAAAATATAAGAATTCTGCAAGCGGAGAACCGGTGTCAGCAGGTGCAAATAGACTAATGTCTTTACAGTCCAGTCAGTCCCCAATTATTTTGTCTTCACAAATTACAGGTGAAGATGCGGTCTGGGATATGACGACGCTTAGTACAGGAGACACCTACTCTCGTTTATGTGTTGCCTCGAAGCCTCGGTAAGTACA